CATTCCCTCTTGAAATGTCTCAATACTTCAGTTTACTAAGGAAGTCTCAAGGTTTCAATTTTCTGACTGGGGTTATATAATCCACAATGTTTGAGCTTTAGCTATTAAATGCACCAATGAGGTAATCCACAGTAACACTATTTTCCCTGCCACTGAAATTGTATGAATAAGGAAACAGACAAAAACTAGAAACATGGGTAGAATTTAGTGCACAGATGGAATCCTCTTAGATTGTTTAGGGTTTGTAGTGAAAAGTCACAAAGTCAAATGTGTTCCCTTTAAAATGCGTAGGGTTTCTCACATTTTTCATTTTTATCTTTCAGATTGAAAGATTCTCAAAGATTAAGTCAGAAGCAAATGCAGAGGCACAACAGAAATGAGTATTATAATCACTCAGAATACGCACTTTATCCTAATTTTTCATAATGCTTGATAAGAGATCTGAAACTCCCTGTATAAAACCAAAAGTTATCCTTTGGACTGTTACACTGAAAAAGATAAAGGTTGTGAATTACACTTTAATATGTACCTAAACATTCATTTGAAGAAAAACAGCCAAATAAAATGGAATAAGTGCTAAAAAAAAGTTTGCATGTTACTGTCACTTAATCTGAGGTTGAGGTATGCTATGGTATTTGGCAACTCAATATAGGACAGTCCTGAACACAGACTGTCTTCAATAATTGGACAGGAGTGAGTCTTTATATCAGAGATGTCTAAGAGTGAATATCAAAAAAGCTATCAAAAAAGGGAGCCATGTTTGGGCAGCCATCTTGGTTTATTGTTTTGTTTATTTGTTGTTGTTGTTGTTTTTATATAATTTCTCTGTTTTTTGAAAGTGTTTTTTTTTCTTTCCTTTTTTTTTTAAGTTTTATTTGAATTCTTTTTACTTTTCATGATTTCCTCCACAGAGTGGACCAGGAGACCTCAGAGGTTCCCCATGGTCAGTCTGCCCAAAACCATCAAACACACCTGGACTCCATATTTATGGTCTGTACATGTACAACAACTTCTTTTACATGTATTCTCTTTAATCATCTCCATGCTGGGTCTGTGGGTTTTGGCTCAGGATGTAGAGCCACTTGCCTAGTTGTGTGTAACATAGGAGCTGAGGTGAACCAAACTGGGTAAACAGCTCAGCATTGTTGAAGACCTGCATTTTCTTCTGTTATGTTATGACTTAATATTTTGATTAATCCTTTAAATTTTGTTAAATTATAATATTGTGCAAAAGTCTTAAGCCACTTTCTCTGGTATGATGGCATCCAAGAAGGGGACTTTTTTCTTCCATGTCCATGTTTAGATACACAGAGGCTAGTTCTCTGAGACCATGCTACTTCAAGAGGGTTTATCCAGTATCTCCAGTTATTTTTCCTTTCATCCTTTCGGTGAGTGGAATTTATAAGGGTGACTGGATCCAATCGTCAGTATTTACCTCCCATAACTTTGGCATCTAATAATTGGGCTACCTCACTGACCATGGCATAACTTAAACCTGAGCTATGAATACTAAATTGTTCTTGCAGAACGACTCTATACCCCCCCCCACTCCCAAAAAAAAGAACAATTTCTTTTAAAATTTCTTACTAAACCTGGTAGCGTGACAGAGACTATTGGCTGGATGGCTAATCCCTTATTAGCTAGCCTTGGATGTGTAGTCTCTTTTTGTAGTGCTGTGGTGTATCATCCACCTGTTCCAAATGGCTTGTTTTTAAAGGTGTTCAGTGTGTCACAATCCTGGGTCCTATGACCCAGCGGTTTCAGTTTTGTGTTTTGTTATTTTGTATTATGGTTTGAGTCCACCTTCTTAGTTTAATATTTAGTCCCTAGGTTGCTATGTTTAGCTATTGGTTGTCAGATTTCCTTGTGTAATTGCTCCTATGTCTCCATCTGTGTCTTTGTGTTCATATAGTTCTGAGCTCCTGTGCCTTGTTTCCCCTCGTGTTTTATCCCATGTTTCCCCAGCCCATGATGTCTGTGCTCTCCCCCGTGCTCTCGCTCTCCCCTCCTGTCTGTGTCTCTGTGTTCTTCCTGTGTTACATTTAGGGTCCGCATCTTGGGTTAGTATTTTTAGTTCCGTATCCTCCCTGTCTTGTTACGCATAATTGTCCCCAGCTGTGCTCCCCGTGTGTTCCCTCCTCACTCATTACCTTCTGTGTATTTATGTCAGAATCTCCCTCTGTTCCATGTTGTGTCGTCCCTCAAGCTGTGTGTTCCCTTGTGTGCCTCTCTTAGAAGTTTAATTTATATTCTCCCAGTTTAGTTTAGCTCATCACTAGTTGTGTAATTTTTCCTGAACCTTCAATAAACTGTCCTTTTGAGTTCCCATTTTTGCCTTTGTGAAATCTGCATTTGAGTCCTCATCTCCTGCTTGCACACAGCGTTTCCTGACACAGTGACCTCTTATTCTTCACTATGAAGCTATTCACACTGCATATAGTTGTTAAAACTTATAATTTTTAACATTCACTTCGATGATAACTCTGACCTCTTTGCCAGAGGTTTTACTAGCATGATGGATTCTTTTCATTTTATCCAGGTTGTGTGTAGCCTCACACATACCAAAGGCCACACACTGGACCTTATTTTTAGTTTGGGTTTAAATATTGATTCTATTTTCTCTGAGGACATTTTTATTTCTGATCATTATCGTGTTATATTTAACTTGTTTTTTAATATGCTTCTGTCTCCTCACTGTGTGGTCAGCTCTTTCATCTTAAATTCCTCTACTGCTGGTGAACTTTCTGATACTTTAAATTTGTCCATATCCCCTTATAACAAATATTATAATAATAATAATGTTCTGGACACTTGGGTAAAGAGAGCAGCTGAGCTGTCAACTGATCACCACCTGGTGGTGAGCTGAATCAGGTGGCGGGGGAGGACGTGTGACAGACCCAGTGCACCTAAACGTATAGTAAGGGTGCACTGGGAATGCCTAGCAGTGGCCCCAGTCCGCGAAATCTTCAATGCACACCTCCAACAGAGCTTCAACAGCATTCCGAGGGAGACTGTGGACATTGAGTGAGAATGGACCATGTTCAGCACCTCAATTGCTGAAGCTGCTGCAATAAGCCGCGGCCACAAGGTGGTTGGTGCCTGTCCTGGTGGTAACCCCCAAACCAAATAGTGGACACCAAAGGTGAAGGGAGCCACCAGGCTAAAGAAGGAGTCCTATCAGGCTTGGTTAGCCTGTGGGACTTTAGAGGGAGCTGATAGGAACTGACAGGCCAAGCGGAATGCGGCTCGGGCAGTGGCTGAAGCAAAAACTCGGGTGTGGGAGGCGTTTGGAGAGGCCATTAAAAAAGACTTTTGAACTGCCTCGAAGAGATTCTGGCAAACCGTCAGATGACTCAGAAGGAGAAAGTGGTGCTCTACCTGTACTGTGTATAGTGCTGGTGGAGTGCTGCTAACTTCTACTGAGGAAATTGTTGGGCGTTGGAAGGAATGCTTCCACCGCCTTCCTTAATCCCACTGACACGTCTTCCGAGGAGGAAGCAGAGTTTAGGGATGAAGAGGATTACCCGCCAATTTCCAAGGGTGAGCTCACTGAGGCAGTTAAACAACTCCTTGGTGGCAGAGCCCCTGGTGTGGATGAGGTCCGCCCCGAGTTCCTGAAGGCTCTGGATGTTGTAGGGCTGTCCTGGCTGACATGCCTCTGCAATTTTGCGTGGAGATCAGGGGCAGTACCCCTGGACTGGCAGACCGGGGTGGTGGGCCCCATTTTTAAGAAAGGGGACCAGAGGGTGTGTTCCAACTACAGGGGGATCACACTCCTCAGCCTCCCTGGGAAAGTGGATGCAAGGGTGCTCAAAAGGAGAGTCTGTCTGTTAGTCGAACCTCGGATGCAGAAGGAAAATTCCATTTTTGTCCTGGTCGCGGAACACTGGACTAGCTCTTTATCCTCTCAAAGATACCTGAGGGCGCATGGGAGTTTGCCCAACCTGTTTACACGTGTTTTGTGGACTTGGAGAAGACATTCGGCTGTGTCCCTCGGGGTGTCCTGTGGTAGATGCTGCGGGAGTATGGGGTGTCTGGCACGTTGCTACGGGCCATTCGATCCCTCTACAACCTTTGCAAGAGCTTGGTTCGCATAGCCGGCAATAAGTCGGAGTTGTTCCTGGTGGGTGATGGGCTCTGCCAGAGCTGCCCTTTGTCAGCGATTCTGTTCATAACTTTTATGGCAAGGATTTCTAGGTGCAGCCAAGTGGCGGAAGGCTTTCACTTAGGTGGCCTAGATTCTCATCTCTGTTTTCACGGATGATTTGGCTCTGTTAGCTTCATCGAGTGATGGCCTTGAGGTTGCACTGGAATAGTTCACAGCCTAGTTTTAAGTAGCAGGATGAGAATCAGCACCTCCAAATCTGAGGCCATGGTTCGCAGCTGGAAAAGTGTGGAGTGCCCACTTTAGTTCCTGCCCCAAGTGGAGGAGTTTAAGTATTTCAGAGTCTTGTTCATGAGTGATGGCAGCCGGAGATTGATAGCCAGATTGGTGCTGCGGCTGCAGTGATGTGGACGCTGCACCTGTCCGTCGTGGTGAATTTACTGGTCAATCTACGTCCCTACCCTCACCTATGGTCAGAGCTGTGGGTAGTGACTGAAAGAACAAGATCGTGGATACAAGTGGTGGAAATGAGCTTCCTCTGAAGGGTGGCTGGCCTCTCTCTTAGCAATAGGGTGAGAAGTTCAGTTCCAGAGGGGCTCAGAGTGGAGCCGCTGCTCCTCCACACTGAAAGGACCCAGTTGAGGTGGTTCCGGCATCTGACAAGGATGCCTCCTGGGCGCCTCCTGAGTGAGGTGTTCTGGGCATGTCCTACGCCTTGGTGTTCCCCGGATAAGCTGGAGGAGGTGGCTGGGGAGATAAATAATAATAATAATAAATAATAATAACATTTTAATAATCACTGAATACTATTTTAGATGAAACCTGCCCTTCTGAAACAAGATGTTTCCAAGTCCTCACCTTGAAAAATGACACCGTTGCATAAAGCGTTCTTTTTTCTTTCTTTTTTTTACCGAAGAGCTGAGCTGCTGTAGAGAATTTTGAATTGGAGGATTTTGAAATTACACTTCAAAAATTCCTTTTGTTCAAGGATGAAAGACATCAGTGGCATTCACAGAGATGAGGGTGCTGATTGTTTGCACAAGGAAGGTTCTTAGGTGACGATAATTTCAATGTAATGCAAAGGATGCATGACAGCTGGGCAACAAGCAAAGAAGAGGACTGTTTTTATAACAGTGGTCTCTAAATACTTTCTGTCAGTAATTCCCTTAAAGAGGATTGTGCACTGTGTTAAAATCACAGCCAGCCATACACAGTGGTATTTGGGCCAGGGTTTGAAAGTCATTGGCCTTCTGTGGGAGGCTGAGAGAGCTATTTGAATTGTCACTTAAAGTGCAACAAAATAATCTCCTGTGGTGCTATCAATAACCAGGGCTCTCTTAACTTTCTGTAAGTTGTATTATGCCCTTAAAATTACTTTATTGATTCATCACAGATGTGCAGTATTATTTTTTTATCAAAAGGTATGGACACTTTTTTGTAGTGCTCTTTTCAGAAAGAGGAGGCCTGGAAGAATAGTTTAATGCTAATGATGTGTTAATTCTCTTACCTTTCAGCATATGGAGTTTGTGCACCTATAACTAACTAACTAAATAAGTACGAGAGTACTAGGTTCAACACTTATTTGCAGTGCATGCACCTGTTGTTGCATTTGGAGTGTAGCAATCACAACAGAAAACTTCTTGAAGTAAAGTATTTAAGTGAATTGCACAACTTGAACAATGGTAAATAGACTGGTTCTAAAATATAGCACTTATCTACTCTGAATACTCAAAGCCAGCACACAAATAGTGGGGATTACCAGCACGTTTGTACCCAGTGCTGTTAATGGACCTCATTGGCGCATTTCACTGGAATACACATGGACACCGAAGGTGTGCCACTGTGCACCATTTTTGCGAAGAGTGTGGTGCAGGCAGTATCATAAAAGAGATACTGATTGACCAGGGCATATTGGCCGTGTATTTCACACTGTATACAAGTGTACAAGAACTGTATGAATTATAAGTAAATCTGTTTGGACCAGTGTCTACCACCCTCATGCCAATGGGCTGATGGAGCGCCTGAATAACAATTTAAAATCCATGATTCATAAGTTCATTCTCAAGGATTAAATTCAACTGAGACCACTGGCTACACCGTTGTTTGCCATGCAGTAGGTGCCCCAGACCTCTACAGGATTTTCAGTAACTGTTCGGTAGGTTACAACATGGGAGATGTTGCAGGAAGGTCCAAGCCCAGATAAAGATGAGATTCAACACATGCTGGACCTGAGAGAAGAGCTGCACTCAGTAGGTTATCATGAGAGAATTTGCTCCAGGCCCAAGATTGTCACTGGTGTCTGTACAACAGAGGGGGAAGGCTCAGGCAACTTTCAGTGTTGATTGTGAAGTGATTCAGTCAGACAGGGGAGGGGCCACACAGATACACCACTCCACTTCTCTGGTGTACTTGGTGAAGGACAGATGAGCTGTGGCCAGATGTGCCCTAATTCTACCATTTCCACCTGCCTTCATTGTGGTGCCCATCTCACACAGGTCCAGAGAGAAGATTTTGTTGCATTGCAGATGTGTTCTCTCACTTGCCTGGCGGTACGACACTGGAAAAAACATTCTTCACATCTTATGATTTGAACCAATTTCGTAGATGGACCTACAATTTTATTTTAGATCACTGTCCTGCTGAATACCTCAATGACGAGAGGTTGCACTGAAGTATAAAGACATCTTAAGTTACATATGACAATTAAAACATCTAGAATCAATGTCACATGTCTCACATTACTATTTCAAAGTATTTTGAGGTCTGCCTGTAGGCTTAGTTGTGGTTCCATGGAGTGTATGACTGTGAGCTTTCCCTTATTTATGTTACTATGGTCTCAGGATACAGGAAAAATTACTGTAATGTACCAAGCTTCTCTTCTCCACTTCTCTCTTTATACTGCCTTGATGTTTATATACTAGAATACTACTACTACTAGATTATCTTAAAGTTTTTTGTCTTTCCTGGAGTTTGTGTATTGTTCAATTTGGTGTTTCTGTTTTGTATGCTTCTCTTTTTTCTCTTCTCTTTCCATTGACTCTGCAATTGATTGATGTTGCGGTGTGACTCATTCAACTTTTTGGTTCCAGATGCTGGAGGAGAAAATCATCACTTTTGTAAAGAATGAACTGAAAAAAATCCAGAAGGATTTGAGTCCAGATTGCCCAGAATTCTTAGAGGGTAGAAGTGAGGGTGAAGGTGTATTAGAGAGTAAGGAAGAAGACCAGGGAAGCAGAGAGGCATTTGTTGAGATCACACTGAACTTCTTGAGGAGAATGAATCAGAAGGAATTGGCTGACTGTCTCCTTAACAGTAAGATAGACCAACATACATTCGGAACATATGCATATGACAAATCTTTGATTGTGTGTTTTGTTTTTTGTTTTTTTTGGATACATATAGGACATTCCAAGGGGCAATTCAAGTGGATTCAGAGTGAATTTAAATCCACCCTGAAGAAGAAGTTCCAGTGTGTGTTTGAGGGCATCGCTAAAGC